TTAGATATGTTTTATTCTAGAAACAAGTCCCCCACTTAACCTATTTATATCTATTACCTCATGCTACCCAAATCTCAACACCCAGTGAGTTTCCAGCCTTACCTCTTGTCCACGATCTCTATTTAATTGAAGAAATTTGCCTTCACGAGTGTAGCTTTCCCCTGCATTTACAGACCGTTTGCTGCTGTCAGGGCAGAGATCTACAGAAGGGGACCTGGAAGCTGAGGACTGCCTGCATAGCTGACCATTGACCATTTTAGTACTCTCTTTAGAAAACATTGGCTAGACTTTGTTTTCACAAACTCCATTGCGGGGACCAAAACTGAATCCTTGGCTCATTCTTCTCAGTGATACATCCGTGATGGATGATGGCCCTGTGGTTCTGCTGCAGCTTCTGTTTCCTGAGCTGTTTGTTTTCAGTGGTGTTGGGTATCCCTACGTCACGTCACAGTAGCAGTACACACATGCCTTCATTCCTCTTGACTTCAGCAGGCCAGCTGCTGCTCTGTGGAAGCACAGCAGGAGGTTTTAAAGCCAAGTTCTAGTGCTGACGTCTCCCTGAGAGTATAAACAACCTTGTTTGCTGCAGCTCTTCTCACTTAAATCACCTTTTTCATTTCAATTTATCTAAGAGAGTTGATTCCTTGCCTTTGTATTACTTTGGCCGATGGGAGTGTACTCTCCTATTCTCCCTCTTCCTTGTTGTGCTCCTTTGCTGTTATTGTTTTGTGTGTGTTGGATGTTCTTCTCTTCCTCCTGGAATGGAAATAGGTTGGCACTGAGTCATTGGTACGTGCTACAGTTGCTGTTCCAGCTGATGCTGCACCTGGTCACTGTCCATCAGACTCTTAGCTGAATGATTTCCGTCTCAACCTCCAATCCTGGGTTATCTAACCCTGGAGAAATTCACATGGAATATTACTGAGCTTCGCCCTGCAGTGAACGTTTTGTGCTTAAGACTGCAAAAGTCTCCAGCCTGTCCTTGAATCACCCATTATATAGCATGACTTGTTCCACTTTTTTCCAAGCAAACAAACAAACAAAACAACAACAAAAGCCCACCTGTGAGTTTTTTGGGGATAATTGTTAGGGTTCCTAATTTTAACTTTGCTCCTCAGGGTGGAAAGAGAGGCTCTTCTGTAAGGTAGTTCAGATCTTCCTTGGTCTGTTGCTTGTGGAGCCCTTTCCATTGGCTTCAGAGGGTGTTGGACATGCTCTACGGTCAATCCATTCTTTTAGAGTGTTATATTATGCTGAGTATTTCTCTCTAAGAGAAGATAACATACCTTTGTGACCTTAAATTTCACTTGCAGGTTAGTGCTGGGGCTTATCTGGCTTTGCTGATAAAAACATTTGGGATTGTTCTAGCCTCAGAACCATTGGCAGTCAGAGCTCTTCACAACTGGATGACAGAAGGCTGCAGGCTCCTGTAGAGCTGATTAAATGGGATGCCTCCAGGCAATTACTGGTCTTGCTCTTTGCTTTCTTTGTTGGCTAAGCTCTGAGCATTAGATGCCAGAAGGTATAATTGCAGGCCTGCTCCCTCTGAGTTGCCAAGCTTAGGCTGGAGATGCCCTGAGGAGTCCTGCCTGTGCCCCTTCTATTTCTCCAAAAGGCAGTGGATCTCTTTTCAGTGCTGTGCCATACTGTGTGATATCTAAGATGTCCTGATATCCCTTTGCTGCCTGTGGATGCTGATGTATAGAGATAGTACCACCTATCTCTGTAACATTGATGGGATTTTAGATGCTCTGCTGGCAGATAATCAAAGTTTGGGTGTCTCAGCTGATAGGTATATGTTGATTTTGTGATGCTTCATTGTCTCATATCTGTCCCATAACCAGTGAATGTGCAGAATGAAGAGAGGACTGTTGGAAGCATGTGAATTTATCTTCCACAGCTTCACAAATGGGACTCAGTGGCATAAAAAATGTGTCCTATTTTAGTGAAGGCTGATTTCTTTTTTTAGACGTTTTATCTCTGGACAGTGAATGAGTGCTCAGTTCTTACAAGTTTCCACATCTGTGCTGGTTGTTACTTTTGTCTGTAGGCAAAGGCACCATATTTATCCATCTATTTAAAAGCAGATTGAAAAAGCCCAATTAAATATATTCCTTGAAAGAGTCTGCCACTCTTTGTAGTTTCTGTGTTGCAAACAGCAGCACAAGAGGTTTAACAGGAGACATTTGCATCATGTCTGGTGTGCTGAAGAACCTTAAAGGAAAACCTTAGGGGATCTCAGGAGAGCTGTCTGCACCACACAGTGTGGTGCTGAGGAAGGAGATTGGCTTCTCTTCTACACAGCTGCCATATAAAGTACTCAGGGCTCCTTAGGTCCGTGCTGGCAGATAGATCTGTGTGCTTCGTGTTGCTGTGCTGTGGTTTCCCTTGTGATGGAAGGAGCTATGTGAAGAATAATTTCCTCCTGGGAAGGCTGATGTTTGCTTCTGTGTGTATGTGGCACATAATCATCCATGGGAAACACAAGAGAGATGCAAAGCTGTTGCTTTTACCTGTTCGAATGACTATTCTATCAAATATTACAGGATTTATACCACTGTTAATTGAGCTGACGACTCCAAAAATTATTTTGTTAACAAATTTCAGTCTTTCAAATATGTGGCCTTATCAAACAAGCCATCATCTCACTGCTTGTAGTATTTCTACATTAGTAGAAACTTGATGTTTCTTTGGTCCTTTGTGGAGCCAGGAGTTGGACTTGGTGATCCTTCTGGGTCCCTTTCAACTTGGGGTATTTTATGATTCTATCAACTGTCTTTCTACTGGCATGTTTTACATGTTGACTCTGTGTTGGCAGTGGAATAGAAGAACATGCAGGAGAAGCATCATCAGCCCACTGCAGAGACTCCTTTCACTTGTATGATTGTTTCTTGTAATGCAGCACGATGGATGACTGCTTGCTGTTGTGTCCTCTCATGGTGTTTGTGGTGCATTCTCCTGAGCTTTCCCACAGCCCTTCAAAATAAAACAAGATAACTTATTTCCTTGACGCATCTGAGAGCTCCCTATTCTCAGACTCCCTTGGGCTTCTCACTTCCATCCCAGGCATTCTCGCTTTGATGATTCTTGGAGGAGCGTGTTTTGGAGCCTTTGTTATGCTCAGTCTTGAAACAACATTCATTTATAGGGTGTATTTGTTGGTAGGGTGTGTTTGTTTGCTGGTCTGTGCCATATTTTGATCTGTGTATTAGTGGTTAGAAAGTGTTCACAGGGTACAGTAACAAGCCACCCAGGTGCCTTTGCTATGTTTCAGCCTTATATTTCATCATTTTGGTAGGCACATTGTACTCCAAGAAGTGGTAACTGAACCATGGCAGTAATTTGCTCCTGATTTTAAGGAATTAAAGACAATGACTGTTTAGTAGAACTAAGTAGCACTAATCTTTAGAGCTGGGCATCTCCCACTCTAAGCTGTGATGAAGAAAGCAGAGTTTGGATAGTCTTTGTGCTAGGCTAAGCATGTTGAAATGTTACAAAGCCAGGGCCTGAAGCAGCCACAGGAGCTGTGTAAGCTGTGACAACTCTCAGTCACTTTGCCTCTTAGAATTTTTTCTCTCAGCTACCCTCACCTCCATGTCCTGCATCCACACTGAAATCTTACAGCAATCTAGAAACCTTCCTCCCAGCATCATTCTCCTTTCCATGCCACGTGCATCCCACAGAATGGGTCTGCTGGAGTTTAGATTTGTTTTTGGGTGGTGACTGAGTAGCAGTTAGACTGAGTAATACAGGCTTTGAGAACTTTCTGACAGGCTTACCTATGCACCTGCATAATGAGGATTTGCCTTCTCATCTTATTACTGTTCTTTTTGGAGGAGTTTCTCTTATGAGACTACTTTATCATCCAGTTTAGAGTGGGCACCCAGTTAGATACCTAAAATTAGGTGAGATGAATTGCTTGATCACCACCAGGGTATAGAAGCTGAATGAAAGCAGGGAATGCTGTATATTTTCACCTAGAATGTGTCCTGGGTTCTCTGGAGCTCCCAGATCTCTTCTGTATGTTTTAACAATCTTTCCTAAAATGTGAGGCTGTGAGTGGATGACTGGAGTTAAGAGGGATGCTGTTATTTAGAAACCTGGAACATAGCATTAGAAAGGAGATCTGGTTGAGGTTCTCTTCCATGTAGCCTGTAGGCTCTGCCAGGATGTGTTTTGAATACAAGCCACTCACAACTTGCACAGATGTTTTCTCTTGAATGCAGGCTCACTTTTTCTCTCCTCTTGCCTTCCATCCAGGGAATCCAAACATTCCAAAACCTCGTCGGATCCTGCGGTCCTCCTGGGGCAGCAATCCCAATTTCCGTGGATCCTACTCCTACACCCAAGTTGGGTCTAGCGGGGCCGACGTGGAGAAACTTGCTAAGCCACTGCCTTATGCTGAGAGCTCCAAAACTACTGTAAGTATGGCCCGAATCAGCTGAGTGACGAGAAGACTAATAGGACACTGGGCAGTGGGTTTTCTGGGAGGCAGATTGAAAGAGAGAGTTTCTTGGGGCCTTCAGTAGTGTGTTTTCCATGTTTTTATACCCATCTGGACAAGTGATGGATGTAGGATTTTACCTCCTTAGTGACTGGAATCCCAACACCTTGGGATTCCTACCTCTCCCAAAGAAGAGCCAAGAGCTGAGCTTCCAGGTGGCTTCTGAAATTGTGATTGGGATCATTAGCTTGTTCAGAGCTCCTTAGGAAAAGTTATTCTGATTTAAAGCATACACAGAATATACAGCATTAAGTGCATAACCCCTGCTAATGGCTAGGTCTTAATATTTCAGAGGAGCATATTAGGAAATCCTTATGTTTTGGCAGGAGAGGGTAATGGAAATCCAGTCCTTGGCTGAGAGACTTGTGCATTGGCAGGGGACAGAGAGATTTGTTCCCCAGATACTGTCTTCACTTTCTTAAAGAGAGTGAGAGCACACATGGAGATTATTACTGCAGCTCAATTTATAAGCAATAATAAATTAATCCAAACTCACCCCATCCAAATCCAGAGACAATGTCTGATGGATATGCAGCCTCCAAACAGCCATACAAGCACCCAGAGCCACCATGTAATTTTGATCAGCATGGAAATCTATTAAAAAAGATAGCAGAAGCTTTAGGAACCTTTCACATTCATTCTTGAGGAAGAGTGGGATCTGAAATCCTCAAAAGTGAACGAGGAGCAATTTTACCCAGCACTGAACTATTGATGTGAGAGAGAAGGCGCTGTTTCACCCTGTGGGTTTTGAGATCTGGCTGCCTTTCCTTCCGAAGTTGCAATTCCCAAATAAATCTTTAATGTCCAGAAGTCTGAGGTGTGATTTGGGGGAAGCAAAGAGGACAGAAAGCACGGAAGTTGGATGCTCAGTGACTTGAGCAGCTTTGTTTGAGGCTGTGGGAGCTGGGATGGTGCCGCAGCTCTGCCAAGAACCACATGCAGGCCCTCCAGAAAGGGTTAGCTGCATGTTCCCAGATGTGCTAAGCCTGTCCCACACCACACTGGGGCTTCAGTAGCCACCTATGAACACCTATAGCATATCAGCTCATGGGGGATGCGGGAGGGCACAAAAATATCATCTCCTTTTTGCCTCGTGCATACTTTTCAGTAAGCTCTGCTGAGCTTTCCCACTTTTCTTATCCCCTCCAGCCGATGCAGGTGATGTTTTCAGGGGAGGCCACTCACAGGAAGTATTATTCCACTACCCACGGTGCTGTGCTTTCTGGGCAGAGAGAGGCTGCTCACCTCATTGAGATGTACCAGGACCTCCTGCAGTGCCGGAGCTAAAAGGCCCCATGTTTGCAACCACCACCAACTCCCCATTCATTTTCCAGGTGTGTGGAGGAGATTCCTTTTTTTTTTTTAATTACTATTATTTTATTTTTATTTCAGTTCACAGTAGAACAGCCTTTATCTTTTCCTATTAAAAAGAGAAAAAAGAAAAAAAAAAAAAAGCCCTGTTTTAAAAGCCCGGTCATCAATAGCTTCATTTCTGTGTGCTGTATTGTTAACAGGGAAGGGTGCTCTTTTTGTCTGTTGATCTGTTGTCATTTTAATTCTAACTGCACTTTCAGTGCCTATCATTTTTTTTTCCTTTCTGTATTGTAAGTGCCTTCTATACTAAAATAAATGTTGTAATAAAAAGACTGCATGATTCGGTGCTTTCTGGATAGTCATCTCAGTTATTACGTGTTTTTTCAGTGATGTCAAAAACAGAGGTTTTCTTCCTATCTACAAAATTTGGAGTAGGGAGATTTTGAGAATGATTCTGTGTATCAGTTGATTGATATGTGTTCAAGGAATTGTGCCTTAGAGACATTGTCGTTTGCCTTATGTAGGTCAGCACTGAGATCCCTCTGCATCACTGTGTATTTAACTCGGTGTCATCTGCCTGTCAGCTGCTGTGGGCCTTCGTGGAAACCTTTCTGTAGTTTTGTGTGGAAATTCGTTGGGGATAGTCTTAACCTTGGCTTGTCTTAGAGTCATAGAATCATATACTGGCTTGGGTTGGAAGGAACCCTAAGGATCACGAAGCTCCAACCCCCTGCCACAGGCAGGGCCACAAACCTCCACATTTCATAGCAGCCCAGGCTGCCCAGGGCTCCATCCAACCTGGCCTTGAACACCTCCAGGGATGGACGGGGCATCCACAGCCTCTCTGGGCAGCTGTTCCAGCACCTCACCACTCTCTCTGTCAAGAACTTAAAGTCTTTGGGGCTACATATAAGTTGGTGGATCCACAATGATTTACACAAATCTGAGAAACTCTGTCTGGTCAGAGTTTTTTAATACTTTTGCCTAAGATCAACAAGTCCAGCTGTTGCCCCATGCCCACTAAGCCATGTCCCCAGTCAAGGTGAGTTGCTGTAGGCCCGTGTCTCAAGGTATGCATCAGTGAGCCTCGGTGGGCTCAGCAAAGCTCCTTCTCTTCCATCCTTGCATTTCCCAGTGGAAATTCTTGCTCTGGTGCAGCCCACGTGGCCGCAGTGACACTACAGCATGGCAAGGATGTGACATGCATGGGCTGAATGGAATAGGGAGGAGGGTGGGGAGTGCACAGCCAGAGTGAGGTTTGGAAAGATGTCTTGCAAGAAAATGAGTTTGGAGCTGGCTTGATTTGTTCAGGATCAAGCAGCTGCTTTAGGGGCTCAGGAGCAAGTTGGAGTAAGTCACAGAATCACAGAATGGTCAGGGTTGGAAGGGACTTCAAGGATCATGAAGCTCCAACCCCCTGCCACATGCAGGGCCGCCAACCTCCACACTTAATACCAGACCAGGCTGCCCAGGGCCCCATCCAACCTGGTTATTGAACACCTCCAGGAATGGGACATCCACTGCCTTTTAGGGCAGCTGTTCCAGCACCTCCCCACTCTCTATGAACAACTTATCCCAGACATCCAATCTAAACCTTCCCTCCTTGAGCTTTTTTCTTGAAACACTCTGGTCGTGCCCACTTTGGTAATGTAGATACAGCTGGAGCATAATCTACAGCTGGAGTTGTAAGCAGTCCAAATAGAAAACTTCATTCAAACTGACGTGTGCTCGAAGGAGGATCATGAGAAGATGCGTTCTCAAACTTCCCCTGTGATGAAACTCCACATTTTGTTGGGCAATGGTGTCCAAAACAGGTGAGGTTTTCAGCCCCTGCCTCCTGAGAAGAGCCCAGAAGTCTAAATTAAACCACTGATACTGAAGAGTTTTCTCAGGGGCGGTCAAGACCATTGCCACTGACTTTTGAAGGAACGAGAAAGCATGTCATGTTATATCTGGATAAAAAATACATATATATCCCTTGGAGCCTCTGTATAGTATCTGACATGGATTTAAATTAAATCTCTCAAAATTCAATTATCCCAGATTTTCTCTTAGTCCACATAGAGGGGTTTTCTCTATAGAGGTAAGGACAAAATCTCTCCTCAAGATGGGAAAGCTCAACTAACCCTGCAGGGGTGCTGCATCTTTCGCATCGGTGCTTTTTCCAGCAGGAGACGACGTTCTAGAACCTTTGATACACCCCTTCCTTTATGTGATCAGCTCTGTGATCAGCTCTGTGGTCAGTCTAATTGCTCCCAGCTTGCCAGCAAGATTTATTCTCATGATAAACTCTTCTTCTGCAGCAACACTAGTGGCTAGGAGATGGTGATTTAGGTTGCTTTTTTGGGGGATTGCCAGGCCAGACGAGGTCTGAAGACTGGTTGAATAGATCCTTCCCTTCCCTTCCCTTCCCTTCCCTTCCCTTCCCTTCCCTTCCCTTCCCTTCCCTTCCCTTCCCTTCCCTTCCCTTCCCTTCCCTTCCCTTCCCTTCCCTTCCCTTCCCTTCCCTTCCCTTCTTTCCCTTCTTTCCCTTCCTTCCCTTCTTTCCCTTCCTTCCCTTCCTTCCCTTCATATTCCCTCCTTCCTTTTCCATATTTTGTGCAGGCATGCTGCTCAGTCATGAGGACACTGAACGCCATGCCAAGGGTAAGAAATACCTGGCAGGGGTTGGTTTTGAGCCTAGCAGCTTCTCCTTCTGTAACCCGGAGAGCACAACTTCACCTGCAGAGCACCTCAGGCAGTGACAGCTCTTGTACTGAGCAAGTCAGACTTCGAAAATTCCCTCGAATGTACTTGAAAAAGGTGGGTAAGAAGTGGAATTTATAAGGAAAATGATCTGAGAACTGACTTGGTGTGAGTGAATTAAGATGATATTACAAGCCTGACTGAATGTGATTAGAATTGAGAAAACAGCCAGGCTAGAATTTCAGGGTGGAGAGGTGACCTGGTTTGCATTAGAGCCCAAAGACCCTCATGGAAATTAACAGCTGTGTTTGCCCAGTGTCAGAAATACACCATGTAAACTCTGCTTTGGATGGTTGAATCCCTCAGAACTGGGGTTTTCTGATTCCAGCAACAAGATTTGGACGAAAGAGGTCTGGCTGGTACAAAGCTAACAGGACTGTGATAAATGAGAAACCATCTGTGTGCTGTATTCAAGCTTTCAGCAAGAGAATTCTCCTCTGACCAAAACAGGCTTCCTGAGAAGAAACTTGTTTATTTGTAAATGGGTTCTAGCTTCAGTCACTAGAGTATATGTGTGTGTGTGTGTGCATGTTTTGTTTCCCTCGAAGGGTTCTCCATCTGTACAGGCAAGGATTTGCCAGCCCATGTGTTTCTTTGTTCAACAGTAAGCCAACAGCAGCAGTTCTCACCTCTAGTATGCCCTAAAGACGAGGCTGGTGCAGTCAGGTGTGATGGATCAGTGGGGTTTGCAGCTCTTGGGATCCCCCAAACTGTTGGGGTTCAGAGGGATGGCTTTGGGTAACTCAGGCCAGCTTTAAGCTTCACCCAGGATGCAGGGATATACAAACCATGGTATATCTAGGCCAGCAGCTTGCTGCTGAGAGCTGTTCTGTTTAACCCCAACAGTGTTGAGCTCTGCTCTTCCCCTGGGACAACAACTTCCATGAGGACTTGTACACGGCATGTCCCATTTGCTGCTTCATGCTTTAATTGCATGTCCTGCTGAACAGCAGCACTCTCTCCAATGTAAGCATCCCCTGAGCTGTGTCAGTATGCACAGATGCTAGTAACTAGCCAGATTTTGGCTTGACCTTGCTAAGAGTGCCTTCTGGAACAAGAGGTTTTTTTTTTTCTTAGACACATAAATCCTTTTCAAAGTCAGCTGAGCAAAATGTGGTCATCAGCATAGTTTTATAATGTCTAAGCAATGTTTTTCCAAAAGATAAAAAAGTTTGCAGAATAAAGAAGAGACACGTGCTTAAGCTGTTGCTTCATCTCTTTGCATGTCATTTATCCGTAAGATTGGCTGCTGCCCAAAGGACCTTTCACGGAGCAAAATGAAGAATGTGTCTATTTTGGCATCAGTTGCCCCAAGAGAAGTGTGTGTATTCTCCTGGTAGTTTCCTACAAAGCATCTGGGCTGGGAGTCACGTTGCTTAACCGTGTCGGGGTGGGAAGAGTGAAGGGTCTCCCCTCTATGGCTTGCTTCTTGGCTTTGGGTACAAACCCCACAAGAGAAGGATGTCACCTTGTTCTTCCACCATCCGGTTCCATAGGGCTGCCCTTGCTCCAGGACTGCCGAGCATTTCTCAACAAAACTCAAAGAGTTCCTCCATAAGCAAAACCTGCTGTGATATCATGCAATGAGCCAAATGGGACTGGCAAGGTCAACAGCTGCTGGATGTTCAAATGAGTCTGCGAGTTGCTCCCTTTGTGTGAGGTCTTCTAATTTACACCTCCTTTCTGCAGGAAAACCAAGTGGGGCAACCCCACCTGGCCTCCTCGTTCCTCTGCTCCATCACCAGCAGTTAAGCCTTTACAACAAAGCTAATGTTTCTCTTGCAGGCACTAAATTTAGCAATTGTTTACCAAGAGGTTCTTAAAATTAGAAGGTTCTGATGCACCTGAGTACTTGAGGAAGAGAGGGGACCCATCAGTGAGGGCCATGACCTCTCACTCTGCTCTGCCTTCTCTAAACCCAGCGGCCTCCTCATCATGGTCACTGAATCAAAGAATGGCTTGGGTTGGAAGAGACCTCAACGATCATGTAGTTCTGATTCCCCTTTTCCACAGGCAACTCAACAGTGGGATGAAGGCTGGGTAGAAAGCAGAGATGGGAGCAACGATGATGGTAAGGGCTGCCCAATTTCCTAGGAAAACTCGGTGATGTTACTGGGGAACTTGGACGTCTGTCCCCAGCTGCACATTTCTTGTCTGAACCTCGAACATGGCAGCAAGAAATGCTGCCATGGCAGTAAGCTTTGGATAGAGAGTACTTGGAAAAGCTGAAATGAGTTTCCAATGCTTCTATTGCACCAGAAGTGTGGTGGTATTGTGGGCCAACTCCTGGCTTGGGGCTCAACATGCCTTCTTCTACAAGCCCTCATGCATCTGTGGTGAGTGGAGAACGCATTTGGTGCCACAGGGGCACAAAGCTGCACATGACTGTGCCGTCATGCAATGAAGGCACCATCTGGGTTGCAGCTTCTCTAGTTCATGTAATGCTTGCAGCACAATTTTTTGGCACGGAGCTGTGCATGTTTGCACTGTTGAACTCTTTTCCCCACTGTGTCTGCTTGCATAGTGGGTATCATCCAGGATGTGCAAGGGATGTTACTTATAAAACACGGCAAATGATGAGGGGAGTTGAGTGGAGGGAATCTGGGTGTCCAGAGCAGGTTTAGAAGGCACCCTGTTGTTACTACATGAAGGACCTGAAAAAAACAGGCAAATGCAGCACACCAGAAGCACGTGCAATGAGTGGATGCTGAAACTGCAAGCGGTGAAGTGATGGAAAGTGATGGAAAGATACAAGAAGTGTCCTCAGACCTGCAGTTTGCAGGTTGGATGTTTTTCCCTTCCTCTGTCTGTCCTTGGGGTGACACCACCGGTTTCTCCTTGGTGTTGCAATGACTTTCAGCCGCACGGTGTCACAAACCGAGGAAAGATGAATTTGTGCTGCCATCTCGTGGCTAAAAAAAGACTTCTCAAGGCCTATAAAAGCCTTTATATACATAAACATAGAAGTGTCGTTCATCAGTGGGTTCTGTTTCTTGTCAGTGAGGACGAAGGACCCAAAAACAGACGATCCATAAACAGGTGATAGAATCATAGAACCATTAAGATTGGAAAAGAGTTTCTAAGTCCAAGCCCAACCTGTCCCACCATGCCCATAATCACATCCCTCAGGGCCACATCTCCATGGCTATGGAACATCTCCAGGAATGATGACCCCACCACTCCCTGGGCAGCCTATTTCTACCCTGGGGTATCTGGGGGCAGAGCTGGAAAGTGAATAGAAGATGCTGGATGATTTCCAGTCATGATTTCCAGTCTCTCAGAGCCCATATCTGTGAGATTTTTGGCTCTTTAGAGACCTAGTGGCAGTTTCTCAGTGTCCTGGGCAACAGTAAATCCTCACCTGCTTGACCCACAAATGCCAAGGTTGGCATCACTGCATGGCTGGCATGAGCCCTTATAGAGATAATAGCAATAGACCCATAGCAAAGGAGGGCCCAATGGTGATGTGCTGAATTTGTTGGATTTCCCTGAGTTTATGGGACATGTGAGAGTTGGGTGATCCCTATGGGTCCATTGCCTCTCTGGATATTCTATGATTCTATGTTTTTTCATGGGTAGAATGGGTGACTTCCAGAGGGCAATGTGCAAAGCATTTGGAAATGAGCATTGCCAAATGGTAAAGCAACTGCACAGGGAGTGCTTCAGAGGCTGGAAGAATTGCTTTATAGGGGTAGAGATGGCAAAATAAATAAATTGGCAAAGCAAAGCGTGCGTTGTTTGGCTGGGCAGCAGTGAGGGCTGAGCTGGTGTGTGTCCAGAGAGGGCTTTGCAGGTGCCCAGGGTGAGGATGAGGGAGATTTGGGGCTTTTGTGAGTGTTGTGGGTGGCAGAGCTGGGAGAGCAAGCACAGAACTGTCAGCACAGGAACGTACCAATGTTTTCTGCAGTGCTGTGCCAAAAGCCACCAGCTGAGGGCCATAAATCTCCAGGAAAACCTCGGTTTGGGGAAGCAAAATTCTCCCTCTCTGTCCTGGTGCACAGCATCTGAAATAAAGCTGGAAGCTATGAGGTTACCTGCTTACTGACAAGCCAACTTCCATGTCCAAAGTGGTTCTTCATCCCTGAGGATAGTATTTGATAATGCCAGGTCATGCTTACGCCTGGAGACCTCATGGCTGTGTACAGCAGCCTGGAAGGAGGTTGGAGTGAGGAGGCCTCTGTTCCCAGGTAATAGCAATAGGATGAGAGGTGATGGCCTTGAGTTGTGCCAGGGAACGTTCAGGTTGAGTATTAGGAAACATTCCTTCTCAAAAAGAGTGGTCAGCATTGGCACGGGCTGCCCAGGGAATGGTAGAGTCAGCATCTTTGGAGGTGGTGAAGAACTATGGAGCTGTGGCACTGAGGGACGTGGTTATGGGCATGGTGGGGGTGGATTGGGTTGG